TGTTCTTAAATATGTTATCACAGAGGTGTTAACTATTGCTCCTGATTGGCTTGGCCTTGGCCAGCGGCAGGAAGTCTGTCCTGGAGACGGCTGGCATTGGCTCCACCAGACAGGGGAAGGTTCTAGCAGCTTCTAACAGAAGCCACCTCTGTAGCCCCCCTGCTACCAAAAAAACCTAGCCACAGAAACCCACTACATAGATCTAATGGGATATTATGTGCCATTGATGCCATTTCCTCCAGTTGTTCAGAGGATATCAGCAAACATGGCAGGGAGTATCTTCTTTTATTAGATTTTGGCAATGGTGTCTTGATAAATTCTTTATCCAAGGAGAATACTACTACAGGACTGCAAAATTCATATTTCTTTCTTTCTTCTGGTGCAGGACTTAGGTCTGATCTATAGCTTTCAGGTTCACCTCCATTATGTGTTTGATGCAGCTCTTCTTCACTTTCAGATGCCATCTTTTTCGTGCTTTATGTGAGTTGGACAGGGACTGTAGAGGTAGGTCTGATTTTCCAATATCCCCATTATTTTCTGAATTACTTGTTACATTTGCACTGATAGCAAAATCAGACTCTAAGCCTGGAGACAAGTTGAGATATTCTGGAAGTGTCTCATCCCATATCCCCATGTAGCCAGTTTCACTTCATTTTGCAAAGCCTGCTTCAGATCTTCTACAGAAACAGTTCGATCTAGTTCCTGTGCTTCAGTTCTCTCAGTCCCTCGTATTCTTATCCTCACCTGCTCTTGAGGACTAGATTCCGAGGAACTTAACTGGGACTTGTTTTCTGACTATAAATAGGAATCTACACAGGAAAACAAAATCTCTTGAATCAAATTCACAGTATTTATATCTTATTAGACTTACAATGTTGTGTTACAGAGTGAGCCATCCAAGTAACTTGCAGCTTTACTGAAGTAATTCACTTTTTCTTCCTGTGCAACATGTCAATGAACTAATCACATTTCTAATCATGAAGCATTATGAAAACAGTTTCAGACTTACACAGCTTTTCTGGAGTTCGGGGAATTTCTCTCCTTGTTAAAAATGGGTTAAAACACAGTGAGCTAATGAGATCATCTAATGACATTCCTTTTTCTTCAGCAATGCCAGGTGACTCAGACATCACAGCCTTTGCAACCTGTAGGATGTTAGAGAAGGGCAAATTCTGAGAAAGCAAAATTAAAACTTCTTTATTTCTGTCAGTTATGGTTCAAAATAAATCCCATTCTCTAAATCATCTGGAGAATTTGAAATATCTTGACTTTTCCGTTATTTATTATTTAGGTTAACAATGACAACAGTGTCCTACAAAATGAAGACAGGGACTGAAATCAGAATTCAATTCTAAGTTCTTTCATCATCTATGAATCTATCTTTCAAATAAGAAATTGTGCTCAGAATATATTTAAGACATTAGTCAAGAACTGCATAAGCATGAAGACTAGAGTTATATTTAAGTAAGTAAAACATTTTAGCAGATGAAATGTAACTAGTGAAAATTATTAGTGAAAAATGCAATTTATTTTCCATTTATGACCATTTATTATAAACAACCTTCCTAACCTCTTCTGCCAGTTCATCTCTGGCTTTCTCAAGAAGGTCTTCTTTTTCCACAGGGCACTTTGCCAGGGTAACATCTTCATCTGAACTCTTTTGCATTTTTTCCTTTCCATTTTTTAGGATATTCAGAGGCACAGGTTTTTTATTTCCCCCACAAGTTTCCGTATGCAAATGCTAGAGGAAGACACAGGAATTACTAGCAGTTTTAAACTCATGTGCCAGAATATTAGCATGAACAAATTGCTGTACGAATTCTGAACAGCAATGGCCCAAATGTTTAGTCAATAAAAATATTTCAGTCTTGAATTCTAACTAAAGACAAAATATTTTTACAATTATATTTGACGTAGGACATAAGTAGTGAGTGGGACAGGTTATTACATACAATGCGGACGATTTGCAACTCATTTGCAACTACCTCCAACACAGTAGAGTGAACACTTGTGCAGTGGACAGCTGTACATCCACGTTGCTTTTACACCACTTTTTAACCCTCAAGTTCATACACACTTAAAGAAACCAAGTCCGACTACAGGTCACACTAAAAAGACTGTTTCAGCAAGCAAGGAATCAGTCACACACTGTATATTACCCTGGAAGTCAAGTACAAGTGCACCTACTTCCTCATGTCTTATTTACAGTTTTACAGGACTGACTCAGATGGGTAAAAATGCTCCTAAAACACAAAACAAAGCCAAATAACACACAAAACCAAGCCAATCAAACACATACCTGCAACAACAACAACAACAACAACCAAAAACCCCCAAAACAAAAAAACCAACAAAATCCCACAAAGTCTAGGCTTTGATCAATGTAAAATGCACACGTCCTGTTTAACTTATTTGACGGGTAGAAAATTACATTTTTGATCACGACGTCTCTGTTTTCAGGTACTGCCAACATCACTGAAGAGATCCTCGAGGGGAAGAGAAAGAAAGTGTAAAAAAAGGAGAAAGTCCACACCAACAATTTTAGAGACAAATTAAAACTAGTGGAATGCTGTAGTGGGTTTCTGTGGCTAGGTTTTGGTAGCCCAGGGGGGTACAGAGGTGGCTTCTGTTAGAAGCTGCTAGAAGCTTCCCCTGCCTGATGGAGCCAATGCCAGCCGGCTCCAGGATGGACTTCCTGGCCGAGTCAATCAGGAGCAATAGTAACACTTCTGTGATAACATATTTAAGAACAGAAAGGTATTGCACAGAAAGAATTCCAGTCAGGAAAGAGCAGAGTGAGAACATGGGAACAACAGTGTAGACAGTGCAGAAGGAGGGGCAGGAGGTGCTCCAGATGCTGGAGCTGTGCCCCTGCAGCCCGTGGTGCAGACCGTGGTGGGGCAGTTGTGCCCCTGCAGCCCATGGGGAACCATCAGGGTGCAGAGACCCCCCTGCAGCCCATGGAGGAGCCCATGCTGGAGCAGGTGGATGCAGGAAGGAGACTGTGACCCTGTGGGAGGCCCATGATGGAGCAGGGTCCTGCTGGAGACTTGCAGCCCATGGAGAGGGAAGTCCACACTGGAGCAGGGTTTTCCCAGACAGGACTTGTGGCCCCTGTGGGGGATCCACGTCGGTACAGCTTGTTTGTGAAGGACTGCACCCCATGGAGAAGTGATCCACAGGACAGCAGTTTGGGAAGAACTGCTGCCTGAGGGATGGACTCCTCTTGGAGAGGTCCATCAAGGACTGTATCCTGTGAGAGGACCCCCTGGGAGCAGGGGAAGGACTCCTCTCCTGAACAGTGGCAGAAACAACAACTGATTGTAACCCCCATTCCCATCTCCCTGCACTGCTGGCGGGTAGGAGGGAAAACGTGGAAGGAGGAGTGGAAAGAAGGTGTTTCTTTTAAGACTGTTTTATTTCTCACTCTTTGGCTCTTATCCTGTTAGTAATAAATTTAAGTACTATCCCCACTTTGAGCCTGTTTTGCCCATGAAGGTGATCAGTAAGTGACCTCTCTCAACTCATCTCAACTCATGAATCCTTGGGTGTTTTTTTTTTCCTCTCTCCTCTGTCCAGTTGCAGAGGGGAGAGTGAGAGAGTGGCTTTAGTGGGTACCTGGCACCTTAAAAGGCTGTTACATATTGTATGCTCCGTATCTGTCCGTTACGATTTCTCTCAATTCGTCCCGGTCATCAGAAAGCAATTTTACTATAGGGAGAACAGTGTGACAATTAGGGCAGATTTAGCCCTACCTGTGTATCAGCCTCCCAAAATTAATAAATTAATAAACTTTGCCCTTGATTACTATACAGAAAAAGAACCGATTCTGCGATACTTTTGTAAACAAGTTTTCGGCATTCTGCTATTAAAGATAACTAAAACGTCTTCTGCAGGCTTGGCATCATTCTTTTTCCCAGATATTGTCATCATCACGGCTAGGCTTTGCGAATGAAGATTTGAGAAGGGCTCTACCCACACTTGCTACAAGTGTGCTAATGCTTAAAAAGGCCAATGTGAGATAGACAAGTCTGGTTGCAGAATGTACAGCAGAAAGACTCCCCGGGTGATATCGACAAGACGCGATTCTTTCTGCATTGTCTTTTCTCCTCAAGAGTGATCCCTAGATATTGTATTCTTTGTCTGAATCACTCCTGGCATGCACAGGTCTGTTCCTATACAAACTTGATGACATTTAACAATCCCCTGGCTACCACAGACTTCAGCTTTAACACTTCTGGTGAGTTTAGTGCTAATTCCATAGCTCTGAAAAATGCAGTCCTCACTTGTTAGGAAAAGCACACTTAAAATCTTAATATTTGCTGTTACCTGTCTGCAGAATCGGAAGAAGACAAAAATCTATGCTGTACGATGTCACTGAAAGAAATCCAGGATTTAATTATTAACTACATTGATAACCTCAGGGACCTACAATCAACTACTTCTACTGCCGTCTAATATGCCCAAAGGACAACCTTCCTTTGCTTACTCCCTTTCTCTCCTAGTAGGAAACTTTCAAGTATCTGTAGGATTCATATTATGAAATATAGCATTATTCGAAAGGTCATGAAACGTTCCTGGACTAAGCAAATGACAAATGGGCAAAAAAATTTAGAATACCATTGTTTTATGTTCTATCCATTGCTGGTAATATAGTAAGAGTAGTTATAGAACAACATAATTGTAACTCTCAAGAAGAGTCATGAAAAAAGTCTTGTTAGGAAGGTTTAGCCTGAGAAACAGAATTTTCTGTTCTCTCCATCGACGTCTTAAAGCTTGGAACAATATATTTAAAAAGTGAGATAAAAACCTTGCAACTTGGCTGCTATACATCCTATTCAGCAGTAACCAGTTGATCAATCAGTCACCAGCCAGAGAAAGAAGCAACTACTTTAGGCCTATCTTGCTAAATTAGGTGGTGGTGACATGTAAGAAGTGAGTTACTGAAATATTCCACTAAGGTTCAAGACATGCAAAATATTCAAGTCCAACAAGTAAATTTCTTTTTTTTCCCACTGCTTTTTCATCATTTTCTCATTAAGCATACCATTTTGGTGGTGGTAATGACTTATCCATCATAGTGTCCAAAGCTTCCTCATCTTTCTCACAATCTTCTTTATGAAGAGAGTCAAAACTATCTAGAAAAGCAAGTAGAAAGTTTTATTATTGCTTCAATTTTCCTTGCTCAGGCTTTCCAGGTGACATGACTGACTCAGATCACTTCTGTAGACTACTGACAGAACGGACTTTATGAAACACTTCAAGAAAAATAAATTCATATGTAAGCAGGACAATGTTATCAATCCTTTTGCTCAGGTACCACCTCAGGTACCACAGATGCCACTAGCAGCCAGTACCCCTTTGTGCTGTTCCTGAACACATGTTCAAGAAGAATGGTTCTATCTGCTGCCCTCCATGTATCAATCATACATTCCACTGTCCTCCAAACTGCAATCCCAGCCACATCATTATCCTCAGCTCTCCACAAATACATCAGTTGTGTGGCACATCAACTATACAAAGCACAATTCCACTCATGTTTACCCAACTGCACTAATTAATAAGTATCTCCCATCCCTTTTGCTGCCTCAGTTTAAGCAAGGCAAAGCACACTGAAAGTAAATGTTTTGCACATTATCAGAGGTACACAAATCTCAGCTAAGGACCCTCTAGAACAATAAATACTAATTTTGGCACATCTTTAATGAAGAGCTGAAGTTTAACTTCAGCAGTTCTCTACTAACCCTAAATTTCAGCTTCTGCAAAGACAAATGGCATTTCCTGTTGCATTTACCTCAACAACACATCCAAAATCCAAGCTCAGTTCAGATAGTTAGAAGAGGTGAATTTTTAGAGCTTACTCTATCAATAGGCAGAAAGTTATGTTTTCTTAATAATTGGATTCTCAGTCATCATTGTACAATCTTTAAAATTTTTAAGGCAAACTACCTTCCATTTGCAATTCTGTAGCCTTCCCTTTGCAGCTTCTAGCCTTATACCCACGTATTCTCAGACTGCTGGAGAAGCACTTTCACCTTTGTAAGAAAAGGATCTTCTTGCTGTTGTTTTATATATTGAAATTCCAATACACCTCTGCTGTGCCATTTTTCCTAAGAGAGACTGCAAGTGACACGACTCAAGTAGTCTTCCCCCTTGCTTTGTAGCTTCTAACTCCATCCTATGGACATCAGCACTTTGTCAATAAGCATTACTCAGTAAAATATAATCAGCCTATCAGCTGATTAGCATGCGCAATAACCATGATCAAAGTGAGTTTTGATCAACACTGGTAACCTAGTGACTGAAAGCATCAAGTAAGGTCCTGATCAAACGGCACAGTTACCATGGAATTAAGTATTTCAGAATGCACCAGGGAAAGATACTTACCTGGCAGGATACCTTCAATTTCTTTTCTTATATGACTAGTGGGGAAAGTTTTATCTTCTTTCTCTCTTTCATACTACTCCTTCAACCCAAAATCTTCACTGAATGTATATTCTAGAACCCATGAACCTTTGTACACATAAATCTGTCTCAACATCATTTTTACAAGAACAACAAAATATCAAACAGCTGAGCATCGGGTTTTTTCCAAACTTCAGACGATCTCCCCGTCAGGACAGGGCTGAAAAATTGTGACAAAGAGTCATTCGGAACCAGATTACCACAGACTATTAAAGAATATCTGCAAACACAGGCAGGGAGCCTTTTTTACTCCAATTAACTTTTAACAAATTGTGGCAGTGGGGGTGAAGAAAAAGAAGCTTCTCCTGGTCACCTACCTGAAATTGGTACTAGATGTTGATGGAAGTCACTGTCTTCATCTTCTTCTGGAAGACTAGGAGAGCAGGGTGGTGAAGCTGTTGAACTAGGTTCCTTTCAAAATGAAGAAAAAAGTTTGCTGAAAAAATCTGCTTATCAACAGCAATTAACATAGTTATTTACAACAGCTTTTCTACAAATCAGCTGTCAGACTCAACATGAAGCTTCTCCCTCTGCTGGGTAGCTAGGCAAGGGTATAACCTTTGAATGTCAGAATGGAAATTATGGTTCATTCATCAAGCACACCACTCCAAAGGGGAAAAACAGAACTCAGACTGATAGCACACAAATGCTCAGCTTCCACAGGGGAATGAACAGAGACAAAACCAAAACCAATTAACTCACTCTTACACTAATCTACTGTCTTTACAAGATGGTTCCAACCCCCACCTCAGGTGAAGACACCAGCTGTCATAAAGTCAAATATATTCCCTTTTAGAAAGACTTCATAAAGCATAATCAGCTTTACTGCACTATGTGATTCCCCCAGCCTTACATATAAAGCTTAAGTGTAGATCTACATCCTCCCTCACATTCTCTTCCCCAGAATCAGATAAACTGAACACTACTTACTAGATCTTCTTTAAAGATGAAATTAAAAGAATGCTGGCCAAGAAATGTTTTCCACTTCATTTCCCAGTCTTCCTCTTTTCTAGAAATAGATTCACACACTGACACACATTGTTGCTCTCTTTCTAGCCTGTAACATATAAGCAGGGAAAATGGTAATATCTGTTGGTGGAGATAACAACTCTGCATAAAGATGGACAGTATGATGTGTTCTCCTTATTCTGCAAAACCCGTTATATGTATCAATTATTCGTGCATTTGTACCTGTATTAAGAACTAATTGAAATTCAAACCCAAGAAGTGGCTACTAGGTATCCTTATGTTTCTTACAGAAGAATTAGAAGAACTATACTCAAATAGATACACAAATTAGATACACTCTTTAAACTTCTCTAGCCTAGATTCAGGTAAAAGATTTAAAAATCTCTGAACTTATTAACATAACAAGAAAAAAAAAAGTAAAAATCAGATCAGCTAGCAAATGAGGTTCCCAGGAACAAAGCCTAGAATATTAATGAAGCCAAGGTACAAAGCTGAAGTTACTTAGAGAAGAGTCTCAATTAAACTTACATAAATAATCAAGACAAATGTTAATTTCCCACAGGGAAAGGGAAAAGACTCAACTAAATATTTTTCCTATAAGTAACATTTTTCTAGAAAAGTCTCCATGATAGGTAGACATGATCCTAAGATTTAAGAACAAGGGAAAAGAGAAAATTTGCCAACATTACCTCTCTGTGTTCAAATCCTGTAGTAATCTATTGCAGTTTTTAATCATGTTCTCAATCCTGTGAAGTTCTTTTAATTCAGACAGATGGTGTTCACTTCTCAACATCCTCAAGCCTTCATTTAACACATGAATGACTGCTAAGAAATCTAATTTTCCATCTTCATACATATTTCCTGAAAAACTCTTGAAGTTCAGCAAGCAAAAAAAAAAAAATTAATGAACAGTACAAATATCAGAAAGTTATGTCTTCTGCAGTAAGAGCATGGACATTATATACTTTGATTCTTTGATTTGTTTCATTTGTCAAAAAATGCATTCTAGATTAAACCAATATGAACCAAGAAAACTTCAACCGATGAGGTATTCCATTTAACCACTGTCTCAAAACTGTAGCACAAACAACACTGATGACGTAACTAAACAACACCATATACCACACACTGGAAACAAAAGTTAAAGCAACAGTTAAACCAGTCAACCTAGTTTTAATGTCTAAATAACAAAAAAGTCAAGTACTAACCAGGCAGACTTATGAGTGCAGTTACTGAACCAAAAAAGTTAATGGGTTAAACATAACAAATACAAAAGAGCATTATAATCCTAACAAATTTTTGCATACAGACTACGTATTTTATCCATCCTTTAGCAATCATCTCTTATAATCTATGAAGTATTTATTTTATAAGGTATCTAACTGTACCCCCGAGGACTGAAAAAAAAAAGGCAGTTTAGCAATTTAGCAAGGACAAAAACTACTTACGCTGTCATTTTCAATTTTGTGAGCCAGCAAATTTGGAACTCTCAAAACAACATCACTTCCATTTAAAATACACTGATGAACACAAGTTTCAAGTACAGAATCCACAACTTCCTTATCCTTTTTCAGAGATGTAAGCATTTCCATTATAAGTGTCCACATACGGCGGACCTTAATGGGCAAGATAAAAACGCTATGTTAAAATGTTTGCCATAATACCTATAAGACAGAATATCAAAACAACATAAAAGCAGATGAAGGGACCAGCATAATTGGAGGTAGATAAAGGGAAATAAAAGTATCTGAGAGCAGGTGTTGCAGAAATGTTAGAAGAAATACAATGCACTGCCACAGCAGAAACAAAATGCTCACCTTTTCAATTCTCACAATTGTGTCACTTTTGTTCTGGTCATTTTGTTTCATCCTATATGCACATGCAAAACAAAAGTACAAGTGGACCACAATGAAATTATAGTCCCTATTTTCATAAAACTGATCAAGTAAACAATTTTATATATCCTAACTTACAAAGAAAAACACTTACCTTGAAGACTGTCTCTGCATGGCTGCATACTTAAACTTTGTCTCTCTTATTTCTTTAATTAAAACCCTAGGAAAAAAGTTAACAGTTACCACAGGTTTATCAGAATTACTTGCAGCCACTAACCAATCTTACTCATTCTTTCAAAATCTGCATACTGAGAGAGTTGTGGAATACTGTAAAAAAAAAAAAAAAGTTAATAAAACTTCCTTACCATGGCTTTGTGCAGAATTAGAGTCAGGAAAGCCACTAACATATATACAAATTAAGCAACCAAGCTGTTGCAATAGAATGGTTTCTATTATACCCAACAACAATAATGAAGTTACTAGAAATGTACATTATCAACATCAACCTCCAAACATATTCATCAACTGTATCACATCCCTCAGTTTCAAAAGACCAGAGAACAGAATACTGGAGTACAAGCAGCTGGACCACTTAGGTTCTTTTGCTGAAGCACTTTTATTGACTTTTTAAGCATGTAAATACCTAGTGGTCTGATTTTCAGAAACATTGGGTGCCTACTCATACTGAATTTGAAAGGATCTTCAGAGTTGTGATCCCTTGTCAAGAATGAAAAAAAACTATAGAGAACTGCATTTTTGAAGGATATCATCAAGCAACAGCAGTAATGTTTCCCAAGCAAGGTCACAGGAGATATAGAATTATAGAAATCAGAGAAGTTCATGAGAGTCTGACCTCTGGAAATTGTATTGTTGAGCCTTCCATTGAAAGCAGAGCCTTTAGTTATGCTACTCATGGTCTTGTCAAGCCAAGCCTTGAGTATTTCCAGGAATGGAGATTCCATTTCTCTGGGCAACCTTTTTCAGTGTTTAATTGTTCTCATATGAGACATTTTTAAAAACCAGATGGAGTTTTCCACTAAGTACCATGTGCCTGTTGCCTTGTCCTGTCACCATACAGCCTTGTTAGGAGAGTACCTCCATCTTCTTTACAACTACTTTTTAGATACTGAAATTGTGATTAAACCCCCTGAGCATTGCCTTTTTCAGGCTAAACAAACCCAACTTCTGCAGCTTTTACTTGTGTGCCAAATTCTCCAACCCTGTAAACGCTGTGGTCCTCTGCTAGTATCTCACCCATCTTTCACTCTCTCCCCTCAATCGGGCAATCAAGACTCAACATCGTATTCCAGGTGTGGCATATGACAACCCCAGCCAGCAACTAAAGTACCACAGAGCTGCTCACTCCCTCCCCACTTCCCCAGCCCCAGCAGGACAGGGAGGATCTGAAAAATGGTAACACTTGTGAGCTAAGAACAGTTTAATAAGTGAAATAAAGTAAAACAGTGTAACGACAGAGATGTAAAGGAGAAAGAGGGAGAGGAATAAAATAAAAAAATCAAGTGATGCACAATACCATTGCTCACCACGTCCTGACCAATGCTCTTTTCCATACAGCACAGTATGCTGCTGACCTCCTTGGTTAACCAGGGCACTCTGCTCACTCACGCTCAGCTTATGGCCCCACACTGCTCTCACCTCTGGTACTTCTTAGCGGAGCTACTCCCCAGACAACCATCTACAAGTCTGTGCTGCTGTTGGGAACTACTTCATCCCAGGTGCAGGGCCTCACACTGGTCTTTGTTAAATCTCACACAATTTTTGTTGTGCAGGTCTCCAAATGCAGCAAAGTCTCTCTGTGTAATGCCTCCTCATTGCAGTGTCTCTCCTCTCCTCACAGTTTGGCACCTTCTGCAAGTTTGGCCAGTTTGCAATCAATCCTGTCATTCATCTCCCTTATGAAGACACAGTATCAGCCACAGAAGAACTCCACTCATGGACAGCTACACCAGTTATGACTTTGAGGCACTATCACCCTTTGGGCTCACCCCTTTAGCTAGTCTTCTGTCTTTCCAAAAATGTCAGAGCTGTTCTGAAGTGATGCCAGGTAAACATCCCTATATGCTTGGATGCATTCGATCAGGTAGGAGTGAAAGCTTTGCTGTACCCTCTTCTTCTATCAGTGTTTTGTTGCTTCTTTCACTATTGCTTCTTGGCATAGTGGCTGGGTTATTGACCTTAGCCATGCACACTGAGGCAAAGTACACACCGGGTATTTCAGCCCATGAAACTTTCAACTTACCATTTCGTTCAGAGGCAGACCTAAATCCTCCATATACTTCTACTTCCTAACAACGTACCTACATGATTCTTTTTTCAGGCTCTTAACAGGTTCTTAGAGCTTTAGGTGAACTTTGGCTCTCATAGGTACATCACCGCACACCTGAGAAATACTTCTGTATTCATGTCTGGGGGTCAGTTCCCTTTTCTATATACCATATCCTGCTACTTTGGTTTCCGAACTCTATCACAAGCTCACTGTCCTAATCAGGTTGTTTCCTTGTTACACCTGCTTCTTTTTCTGCTTAAGGTGATGGGCCATGTGTAAGCTTCATCAAGGATCTCTGAAAATATCACTCCTGAGCCTTTCTGCTTTCCACAAGATGCCCCCGAACAGTTCCCTGGGCTAGTGAAAATCCACTCAAATTATAAATCCACTGTTATTAGTTTTCCACTCAACTTCCTCACTCTCCTTAGGATCTTAAGTTCTACAGTCTTAACTACAGTGACCACAGAAGTCCTGTAATGTCTCCAGAGAAGTTTCTCTTACTTAATATGCAGTGAGTTCAAAAGAGCACCAATCCTATCTGGAACACTCTGTGATTGCATTACAAAGTCATCTTCTAGGCACTCCCACTTCCCACATCACAAATGTACCACTGAGATGCTTTCCCAGCAAATACCAGGGTAAGCTGAAGTCCTCTGATAGAATCAAGGCCATAATCAACCCTCGGATCTATTGATCCAAAGGCATGAAACATGACTAGTCCTCTTGTATGGAGCTATGCTACATGTACTGTCACTGCTCTTTTACCTACATTGCAACTCATCGCCCTTTGCTGTCATTTACTGAACAGCCCACAACTGCCCATGACAGTGCTTTGGTCACAAACTATTCCACACCGATCCTTTAAATTCCACTGACACATAACTCTGCGCCTGCACAGAAAGTTCCAGTTCTTCATACTTCTCAAGTTGGGAATGTTTTCCATTAAAAAAAGTGACGAACAGCATACTTTTGGTGAAATAATTAAGGTTCATGTAAAGAAAATGTGTCTCACAATGACTAAGCAAGGCCAAATGTTTCATCCTGAGACAGTTAGATTTTAAAGATACGACCCTTCAAAAGTTAAGAAATCATAGTGCTAAACATGCAGAATTCCCTGATTTTAATGCCCTACTAATCATAGCTTCCAAAATACAGCATCTCTTAAATGAAGAACTAATTTCTTCAGACTACTACGCTTCACAAAAGATCTACAAACAGTAGAACAGTCAATTAAAAGAGGTAAAGAGGGAAAATACGGGAGAACTCATGAGGTAAAGCAGAGGTAGTCTCCTCAAATCCCTTCAAAAACACATACACATAAAGTCAGCTTTTATGAAAAGACTCAATTTTTTTAAATGCATTACTTACTGTGCTTTTTTCACATATTCTTGAATAACAATGTCTGTCTTTTGAAGAATTTGCAGCAGTTTATTGTATCCAACTCTATGTCTTGCTTTTGCAATGTACAAGTCCTCAGGTCTCAATGTTATAGCTTCAGCAAATGGTATACAAGTGCCTAAACAGAAGTTAAAGTTTGGATGACATCATTCACTTTCAGCAAATGGAGAGCTTCCTAATCTACCTAGTTCGAACCAAAATATCACAAATCAAGATGCTCATTTTACCTGGACTGAAATAGAGCATGCAATGTACTGCCTTTTTTGCCATTTTTTTTCTGTTGTATATATCTTCATTCCCTCATGCTCTTTCTATTTTCTTTAGGTTATCAAAACAACACAAGATGCCTAGAATAGACAGTTTCCATGATTCAGAATTCATCAAGTTCTGAGGAAGAATATGGTGTAGCAAGCCAATACTTTTGGACCAAATCATTGCTCGTGCAGCCAGTGGTGTAGAGCATTGCACAGATAAGCCTTGGAACAAGACCCATAACGCACCAGAGAGCAAAATAATCAACACTGTTCTATCAGCAGTAGCTCTATACAAGTGCACAGGACACTGTGAAAGACTCTGAACTGAGCGGCCAACTCAGAACTACTTACAGCTCTTGTCACACATTAAAGACCTGATAGATTTACAAACATAATAAACAAAGCATTTTTATTGTTCCATTACAACTTACCCACAGAGAACTTTTTCACATGCACAATCATTACATATCTTGCAAGCTTGTAGAGCGCGTGAACAAATTTAGCACCAACAGGAGAAATCAGTGATGAAGGTGTAATCTTTGGAATATTGATTTTCTCATCATTCTAGAAAAGTTAAATTGTTTTAAACACAGAAGTAATCTAAGAAATAAAGTGTAAACAACAGCTATCAAGTAAGAACACTACAGACTACTTGCTAGCAAGCCTGATGCCAAGCTAAATGACTTTGCTACCATAGCTGACACTTCCTCTAGTCAGCAGAAGAGAACAAAGTTTTTTTCAGTATTCCTACCACCACCCTTAGTTTTGTACACAAGATAGCCTCAATGCAAGGACTGTTGGATAAATGTGAGAAATTGGTGCCCTCCTAACTGGTAACCCCTATCTCTGAAAACATATTAAAGTTTTCTTTCATATTTTCCCCTGAAGTCATTAATTAATGCAGTTTTACCATATTCAAAGATACTGCATTCTTGGCTTTCACCTTGTCCATTATTACTAAATAACAAAAGTTTTGCAGTATATAAAGATGAGATTTCTAGGACAATTATTAAGACAAAGGCAGCATAAGAAGCTAACATAAATAAAACATAATTAATATAACATAATTAACATAACATAATTAAAAAGCTAAACCAACTAGTTTTGGTTTAGCTTTTTAAAAAGCTTGCCTTAAATTTTAGTCCCTTTTCCCATATACAAGGAAAGACTAATATTAAAGTTTTTCATGCATGGGAAACAGCTTTCAGAATAGTAAACACCTTCCCAGGCAACTTAAAAAAACACCTCTCAAGCTAAAAGAAGTTATTCTCACCCAGAGCTAAGGAACTCCCTAGACTTACAGTTCATTAAATACCATTACCCAGAAGTAAGCCACAGCAGTTTTAAGACCCAAGTTAGGTCCCTGTCAGCTAAATTCCACAATGCCACAATCTTCTTCAAAGAAGTCCAAAATAAACTATGTGAAAGAATGCACAAGGTAAAACCGAATTCTTTGACAAAATTTCTTATTTAAAACTCTTATTTAAAGGAGTTTTCTCCCAAAAAAATCAGGTCACAGAAATCAGTACAGCATCATCTTTCACTCTTCATGATACTTACTGAAATTTCTCTTAGCCAGTCACAGCAATTCTTCCTAAATTGAGTAGCTCTTATTGGCACTTCATCATTTCTTTCCATTTAAAAATGATGAGGAAAAGGAAGAAAAAAAAAATCAAAACGTGTTCAAATATCCAGATACCTAATTAACCATTATAAAAACAAGACTAAGACAAAGATTTCTTATTAATGCCTACTGGCGGAGCCCACAAATGAGGGACATATATCCTAGACCAAGAATAGCTAAAAGTTTGTTAAATGACAATGTTTTCTCTCTGTAATTTAACTACAGACGCTCTCAGAGACAGATTTGTCTGCAGCTCTTTCTAACTTGGGATAAGGGAAGAAGACCAAAAAACAGAGTCATAACTGACCATTTTGATATCACTAGTCTTCCTCCTGACATGTCTTCAGATGCATAAACTAAAAAAGCTCAGCTGTAAGAGGAAAACCATTTAATGAACACAGGGTTCTTGCCATGCTGAAGATCATGGCAGCGATCCATGAATGGGAAATGTTACTCCCTGCTTGGTCAGGGAGATGAATGGGAAAGATAGATTACTTTGCAGCTATTAAGTTTATATCAAAGTACCAAGTTATAGATACTATCAGATACAAATTTAATTAAGCCGAGGCTGTGATACAGAATAGTGATCAAAAGAAAACAAGTATTCTGACGGTATGCTTTTCTTCCACAGTATTCCCCAAGTGACCGCTTCCCTCCCTCCAGCAACTGTATAAAACATATTCTTAATTAAGGGCAGAGCAGCAAATAACCTCACAAGCCAATTACTTACTGCAAAGTTTTTTTCGCACGGTCCTTATCCAGCTTGGTAAACAAGAAGCGGGCAATGACAGAAAACGCTTTGTTGTTTGGTTTATCAAACATGTTCCTAACACACAAATAAACAGCCCCATGAGAAGTAGTTACGGTGAGAAATTAACAGAGTATTTTTACTGGCCACTAAAGATTACAAAACACTAAGTTACATTAAAGCTTTACAAATTATACACTGAATGCTTTGTTACTTGCGTGTAAAAGTATACATCATCCAGCGTATTTAACACAGGCGAAATCCAGGGCTGCATCAAAAGCATGGCCAGCAAGTCGAAGGAGGTGATTCTCCCCCTTTACTCTGCTCTTGTGAGACTCCACCTGGAGCACTGCATTCAGTTTTGCTGCCCCCAACCCAAAAAGGACACGGAACTGCTGGACCAAGTCCAGACTGGACCATGAAACTGATAAGGTGACTGGATCACTTCCCCTGTAAAGGAGAGTTGGGCTGTTCAGCCTCAAGAAGAGAAGGTTCTGTGGAGACCTCACAGCAACCTTCCAGTAGCTGAAGTAGTCCAACAGGGAAGCCAGAGAGGGACTCTTCATAAGGAACTGCAGTGGCAGGACAAGGAGTAACGGTTAAAACTTGAAAGAGGGGAAATTTGGGTACAACGTTAGAAAGAAATTCCTTATTGTGTGGGTGGTGAGGTACCGGAGCAGGTGGCCGAAGGAGGCTGTGGATGCCCCATCCCTGGCGGTGTTCAAGACCACGATGGATAAGGCCTTGAACAACCTGGTCTAGTGGGAGGTGTCCCCCTACCCGTGAAGGAAGGGGTTATCTTCCAACCCCTTGACATCCAATTATTCTGTGAAATAATTCCGGTGAGAGTGTTATCTTTCAAAGCCAGTTTTCAAAACACGCGCTAAGGAGCCGCTCGAATCGCCCTCCCTAAGGTATTGTGCGGGGGAGCAGCTCTCACCATTCCCGAGGTTCATTCCTTCGGACAGAGGTAACACGGACCGCGGCGGCACTGCGGGCTTTTACCCTGCGCTACACATTGCCAGGGGCACCGGGAGCCTCGGTGCCTACGGCGAAGCACCCCCGCCCCGCTGCAATCGAGCGCTCCCGCCTGAGAGGATGCCCCGAACCCCCCGCCTCCGCCCTCCGCCGGCGCTCCCTCGCACTAACCGTCCCAAGTTCACGCTCTCGTGGCCGGGCTCGAAGCCCAGGGCCAGCAAGTAGAGACAGAGGTGATCCCTCTCCCACACGGCGCCCATGGCTGCCCGGCCGCGCGGGAACCCGTCTCGCGTCGCAGCCCGCCAACAACCGCCGCGCGCCGGCCCGCCCGCGCCACACCCCCGCCCTCGCGAGACCGAGCTGGCCCCGCTGCCTCACGGGAGGTGTAGTCCGGGCGCCCAGCAAACCACAAGAGGGCTCTTCCCGTCGAAACGGCTTTGTGATCGGACGGCGAAATTTAACACGGAACAAAGAAACATTAAAAAAAAAAAAAAAAACTACACCGGCAAGCGGGTTGTGCGGTTCAAACTTTTATTCCAAGGCATTTCAGTGACTAGACTTGCAGGTGCTCACAAGCAGTGTCCCCGGGTGCCGCGCAGCGGGGCGATGCGGTGCGGGCGGCGCTGGACTGAGCAGAGGCATGACGTGACTCCCGGCGGGCTGTATCGCTCCGGCGGAGCAGCTTAGCCTGGTCCTTGAAAACAAATGTTAACAAGTCCGCCTCCAGCCCCATTCTCACTCACCCCAACTCCTACAGAACTTACTGTGTGCGAGCAAACGCGGCCTCAACATCTCTCAAATAAATAAATGACATTTAAACAGAGGAAAACCCCACACTGTTACCAGAAGTATCGTCATGTTCAATTCCCTCTTTCTCTTTTTTTCCAGTTTTCTTTTGTCCCACATCTGAATCTCTTTGACCTCCATTCTCCCTCACTTCCTACAGTCTCTTACCTTTTCTAACTCCTACCCTTATTCGTGGAAAACTTTAGTTTTTAAGCATTTACCCTCTTCTAGTCTTAGACGCCACAACTGATAGCATCACAATGGCCAAAATATTTGCACACAGAAGGTATGTGGAGAGAAAGGGAGTCCTTCTGTGCATAAAGCACTCCTGCCAAAGGAAAGCTCTAAGCTTCTAAGCTCTGAAGGTGCAGAGCCTAACAAAAAAACCTGGCAAAAATCTGAGATAGACAAAGTCTCTTACCCTTTCCAGCAGCAAAGAGGTAGATGCAGAATTGCTTTTCACATAGACTGAAAGGGGAAATTTTGTGGGCAAATCCTCATCAACTCCTTTTGTTGGCAGCCCTTTATGCAAAGCACTGGGGTGTTCTCATGGCTGCTACCAGCAGGAGAACAAATCATTAACAAAGATCAGATCAGTTGGATACACTGGTTAAGCTATACTTGGCTTATGGAAAGGGAGCTTGACACCCATGCTAATGAATTAATGTAGAGTGCATTTCTTATGTAGAAAAAAAAAAAAACACACCAGATTTTTGATGCAGCTAAATGAAACGGCAGTGATTTTTAAAAAATATCCCCATAATCCCTAAACTAGGCAGGTTCACCTTTAAAAAGGAGAAATCTAAATTAAACATGGCAAAGGTACATTGTATCAAAATACATTTTTATGCTTCTCTATTCAGCTCTTTGCCCTGTAGTGTAAGGGCCATTTGTGCGTGAAAAGTCTTGTTGATCCTCTTCATCCAAATCCAAAATGTCTGGGATATCATCTGACTCTGAAGACAGGTCTGTAATAGTGAAATCTGGAACCTGTGTAGGAATGAAATTTCAATCAATTTAAAAGTACAACTAAATA